GCACATATTGTTCATTCCCCAGCACCACTTAAGAGTGCTGTCACTCATTCGGAACAGTACTTAGGCCTATTCATGGCTGAAGGATGTTTGGTGAAGACATGGTAATTATGAGGGCAGAGAGCTGGAGAAGCAGAAGGATGATGGCAGGGACTCAGGCTAAATTAAGCAGAAAGCGATCCACAATTTACCACAAACCTAGAGTGAGTCAGAACTCTGTTCATTCCCACTGTGAAAAAACACTTGATAACAGGAGTTATTAATAGGGCATGGCACGTCCAGTAATCTTTCAGTTAGACTATGCATTAGTCAGAACCTTATTTGAGATGAGGATCCAGCCTGGATCAGTGAACTTCACCGAGACGTGAGGAAACTGGGAATGATCCAGACAGCTCCGTCAACTCGATGGAGAATGGAAGAGTCCCAGAGAGAAGTCAAAGAACTCAAGTAGGTTCACTTTGAAAAAAAAATAGCAACATCTTTTTTTTTTCCTTTGCCTCAATGCTGGGGGGATTTTTGTGGGAAACACAATTTTTTGCTTATGTCTTCAGAAGGCTGACTATTAATGACAGGGGCCTCCATGAACCAGGAGAAACTTCTTGTAGAACACAAGACAGAACTTTTTCAGACTCGGAGGCAATTATTTAGGTCTTGGGATGAGTGCTCTTGGGCCACTGGCCCTGGAAATATTCGAGAAGCTGCCTGTTCTCCTGCTCTGAGTGGTTCAAATGTCCACCTGCTTGGTGCCCACTAGTTGCTGGTCTCCATTCCAGCTTTGTGACATCTGTTTCCTGGCAGCCCTCTGGGGAGGGGTAGGTAAGGTCTGAAAGAAGTACTCCCCTGGTTCCCTGGATCAGCCTTCTCCTTTCTGTCCCCTCACATTCATTTCAGTGTGCGTTTACTGCCAGTCAGGTTGGAATGTCGTGACATCATTTGATCCTGCTGTTCCAGCCCTGCCGTGCGTAGTGTGGACTTAGAAAGAAGCTGAGCAGGGCCAGTGGAAACTACTCAAACAGGCCCTCTTGGTGACATGGAGAGTGGGAGTGACCCGGGAGACCTCAAGAGCCATTTAGTTCAACCTCCTACAGAAATAGCTTCCTACAATGCAATAGGTGCTTTACATACATTCTTTTGAATTTGCACAACCTTGAAGGTAGGGTTTCACAAGTGTGGAATTGGATATTAAGACAAGTTACAATCTTTGCCCAATGTCACACTGCTGGTAAAGGAGTGCCTGCTAAGTCTACATGTCAGTTAAAATCTGTGCCCTTGCCCTTAGAGCATGCAGACATGAAAATTGCAGACCAGAGAGGTGGAGCCTCCCACCCAAAGCGACACAAGCTGACCCGGGACTGGAATTCAGGGTCCTAACTATTCATCAAGGAATCTTCCCAAGACACATGTCGTCTTCTGACATTTAATGTGAGGAGGCCAAGGATGTGGACTGGCCCAGGCCATCCTGGGTTAGGTGAAACTGAGGAGTAGACCAGCTCTGGACAAATGCTGCCCACAGGCTGCATCCTCTGCCCTCCAGACTCTCATCCTAACCAACGTGGTGAAAAGCCCACTTCCAGGAGGGTCCAGCAAGGCAAAGGACTGGGCTAGTCAGTTTCTGGAGGAGCCAATCTGGGGCTAGGGCGGAGGTGAGGAGGTGTAATTGAAAAGCTGTCACCTAAGGAGGTCAAATTCTGGGTTCTGGTCCAGGTTGGGAGCCAGCAGGGACCTCGGCAAATTACTTAACACATTGTGGACCGGTGACATAGATTTGTGTCTATACATTACAGCTGTGCAAGACGGGATGACACACATCTGCATTTTTAACACGCACTTGGTTTCCACGCACTATACACTTAGCTATGCAATACATGGAGCCTTTCTCCGAATTGGTCCTGCTGACGAATGTTCATAGAAACATGACCTAACTCCGAGTTAATGATCTGTGATAAATTAGTGTGATAAATCTGTGATAAAATGGCAAAAGACTGGGCTACAGATAAGGTGGAGACAGACTCGGACACAGACACAGCACACCCAGGAACATCAACCCAAACCCCTCGTGTGCCTCATGAGGAACCGCCCCCCCCCCACCCCCCTGAGACTTTCAGGTGATATGTGCAAACGTGTGCTAGAGAAAATTGTTGGAAGTGAATGGGGTAAAAGAAAATAACCTGCTAGGAGGTGCCATGTTTGTGCTGCCCACAAAAAAAGTGAAACTCGGTACATCTGCAAGTTCTGCTTAGTGTCACTCCACAAGGGGGAATGTTTCCAGAGGTATCACACCCTCAAGCACTACTAGGGTCTTTGGTATTTTCTGAAAATTTCAGTTCACAAAAATAGCGAGTTTGTTATACATTTTAAAAGAAACAGTATAAAAGTTGATTTCAATGGTTTAAACCCTGGGAACATACATTTAAACAATTTAAATGCCCCGTCCTCAATGTGCTAACACGTTGTGGACTGGTGACACAGATTTGCGTCTATACATTATAGCTGTGCAAGACGGATGATGCACATCTGCATTTTTAGTTAGGCAAACGTGTTTGATATTGCAAAGCCGCTCTAAACGAAAACGCACTCTTCCTCCTTCTCTTAGGTGGCAAAATGTTTGCAATTGCTTTGAGGCTCGTATGTCTTGAGTGCAGTCACTTGCAAACATTAGGCATTGCAGTGCAATTCCAGGAACGCCTCTTCGAGCAGGCTGAAATGCTTTTGCCAATAGCTACACACTTACCTACATTCCTTATGGTGCAGGGGTAGCCTTACATCACGTTTTCAGCAGGCCTTTTTCTTGGATCATTCTGTTAGTTACAGGAACAGACAAGAAGTACCAGCATACGGTCGAAGCCACGCCGCTTCATCTGGCTGCACCAGGTCGCCAGACACGGAGACTTTGACTTAAGTTGTTGGAGGCAGGGGCCACACCACTCCTGCTTTGCATCTGTTGAGAGAGCCCATTTTCTCAATGAGAGTCAAACAAGTGCCCTAATGCTAGCAGTAATGTCTCTCTTCCTTAGTGTCAGCAAACCCTTTTGGAACGACAACTCATTCTTTTCCCGTCTGCTCCAAAGGCAGACATGTGATTGACATGGCAAACCAGCTTTAGAGGAAAACACATCCTTCGGCCTTCTCTTAGAACTCTGAGTTTCTTCATCTGCAAGACGGGGCAAGTGTAAACCGCACTTGAAGCGTGCAGACGCAAAAGCAGTTATTACGCACCAAAGCAATACCATCGGATCTTAGTACCGCGACCCATTGAAATTTCCCAGGGGCCTAGCGAGGCCTGGTGGGGAACTAGAACTACCAGTCCCAGGAGGCATCGGGCGGGCGGGGACGCGAGCTGGTGGAGAAACTATAATTCCCAGAAGGCATCGGGCAGGCTAGCGCTGGGTGGTGACGTCGCGGGGGCTGGCGCGGGACGCTGATTCGGCCGGAGCTGCCAGCGGGGTGGCTGCCGCCGTTGGTTGTTACAGCTGCTTTAGCAGCAGCGGCCCCCGCCCCTGGGCACCTCTCCCGGGCCCTCCAGGGCCCTCGACCTCCGGCCCCGCACGGTGAGTCCGGACGGGCGGCCTCAGGTTGGCCGAAACGGGAGGCTCCTGAGGCTAGAGGCGGGGCGGGAAAGAGGTGGGGGCTGCTAGGGAGGCGCCCCGGGCCGGAGGGAACCCGGGCAGGTTGAGCGGAGGTGGGGGGGGGGTGCATGAGCCGAAGGGATGCCCAAAGGGGAAAGTCGGGCTGGGAAGCCGAGGCTGGGGCGTGGTGGTGGTAAGGGAGCGCTCGGGCTCCAGCTGTGGGTGAGGGACCGGGAGTGGCTTGGCTTCGGGGATGAAGATTTGGCCGCTTCCAGGGCTGGGTGAACGCGTGGAGGTGGAGGTGGGGGTGGGGCTCCGGACCCGGCCAGGCAGTGAGCGCGAGGTCCGAGGCTGGGGAGCGGGGCCGGAGGCCTCCCTTTGGCTTGAGAGCCCACTCAGAAAACCCCAACAATAGTGAGGACTCCTCTTCGTTTCACATTCTCCCTGAGCTAGTGGGGGTTCGCCCCACTACTCCATTTCCACCGCCCTCTCGAGTCCGGGAAGGCAGGGCCAGAGCTGAGAGGTGAGCTACTGAGGCCATGTGGGTTGGTGGGTGGGCAGAATGAAAATGGCATGGTGGCGTGCTGCCAGGTACTCCCCGTTGGGGTCCTGTTGCAGGCTTGGATGTCTTGTGCGCCTCATCCAGAAGGCAAAAGGTTTGCTGCTTAAAGGGCTGCCTTTACTTGGGGGAGAGAATGGGAATCGTTCACCTGGCAGCTGCCCTGGGACGCATTGTGGCCTTGGCTTAGGTGTCTGACAGACAGGCTGGGCAGGGATATTTGTGTGTGGAGCCGGGGGGAAGGGAAGAAAGGAGTAGGAAAGCTACCAGCAAGAAAGTAGTTAACAGAACAGTCGCTGCAGGCTCTGGTTTGAGGCAGGTTATGAAACCACATCAGGGACTGGCACGGGCAGCCACCTGCCAGCTATGGCCTCAGACGGAACTTTTCAGTCTCAGCCACGGTAGACTTGTTCTACCTCTGCCCGCTTCTCCCCACTCCTCCCTTTCTAGGCGAGGGGCAATTGGCTATCTTACTAATGGAAGTGACTTGTATCCTTAGTCACACAAAAGTCTTAAGAGTGCTTCCTGGCTGCCAGTCTTTTTCTTAATTTATTGATCTCATTTGTCTTTTGGACGGGGTTGTCTCCTGGGATTCCTGCTCCCAGGGAAGTTAGTGTTTAGGCTTCAGGAAGAAGCTTCCCAGGATGTCAATTAGGTCCTAGGTCTAGGCCCCTCCTAGACTCATCAGGCTTTATTGGATGCTCTGTTTGAGCCAGAAAGAAGTGTGCAATGAATGATCTGGGATTTAGCAAGGCTCTTGGCATTCCTGGACAAAATGCCAGGGAGGGCTAGAGGTCTCGCTCTACTCCTATACCCTGTAGGTCTAGGTTAGGGAGAAGTGGAGAGGGGCAGCAACTTCTGGTGAGACTTGGGGAATTGTTTCTCTTTCCTTAGTCAGTAATAAGTCCTTCAGAGCCCTCACTTCCTAGCCAGCCCTCCCCTCCCCTGCCAGATGGAGGATTTTGTGTAGTAGGAGTCCCAGGAGCTGTGTTAGGGTAGCTGAAGCCCCAAGCCCCTGGGAAGGTAAACAACTGAGCCAGTCCTGGTTTTCTTCCCTGGGTTTCTGTTGGGCCCAATTATCCAGCCTAATGGGCTGAGTTGATGGACCCAGGAGTATCACTTCTAAGGTGCACCCTGGGTCATCTCACATATGTTTGCATGTTGGGAAGGTGTGTTGTGCATCACATTTCCCCTGAGGTCTCAAAGCTTGGAGCTGTCTGAAAAGAGGAAAGTTGTTCCCATTATCCTGGAAGTAAGAAACTGATCCTTGAGAATTCTGGTGCCTACGCAGGCTTGGCTGTGATCCTAACCAGAGACAGATAGCAGCTGAGTCTGAGGGGGTTCGTGGCAGTAAGGTGAGGGAGGTGTCCTTCTGGGCACTTCCAGGATACCCCCATCTGGGACCCCTTCCTGCATGCCCGGGGGAGATGGGGCTGTTACCATGGTGATGACCTTAGGGTCTTGATCAGGCAGGACATTCCCCTAGCTCAGGAGGTGAGCCAGTACAAAGGCACCATCTGTTCCCACCTCCTGTTGGTCACAGGGCCCTCAGGAATCTGGGGACAGCCAAACTCTGGACAAGGGGCTGCTCATTCCCCTCCTTACCTGCATCCAGGAATGCAACTGGGTTGCATTGTTTCCTGGGCATCAAGGGCAGTCCTGGTTCTTCTGCTGCATGTTTCTGCCATTGGAGCTGGGCAAGGGAAGGCATGGTGCTACTTACACCTGGAAACGGGGAACAGAGGCCAAGGTGAGGATGGGTGGGGCAGAGAGGAAAGGGGGCAGGAGAGAGGCTGCAGGTGTGGTTTTGTGTCCTTGGGAGGGGTATGTTGGTGTGGGTTCCAGCTACCATGAGAGCTGTAGATGTTGGCCATGTTCTCTGTCCTCACCTCTCCTCTGGTGGAGAAAAAGGCCCTGGTGGTTTGGCAGCAGAGTGGGTGGTATCACGAGGGTTAGCTTGAGTGGCTGCCAAATGGATAAAACATCTGGATGGGTTGTTTTGTGTCACCAAGAAGAAGGCTTCCAGGTCTGGGCAAAGGTTGTCCTGAATCTGTTGTTTTTTCTTTTCTACCTCCCTCTTTCTATCCTGTCAGTCCTCGTGGGTCAGGGTTCGGGGAGATCCAGGACTGGAGAATTAGGTGAGATGGGTAGAAGCAATGACCTTCCCAAGTATCTCGGCCACTGCTGTCCTTGCAGGCCCCACCTCCTTTTATTCCTTTTGATTGGGGAGGTGGGGAGAGGTAGGCGATATTTCATATCAGGCCCTCAGTGAGATAGTTCAGCAGGGGTTATGCTGAGTGATTCTGAGGGGAAAGCCCAGGAGAGGGCTTTGTAGGAAGAGGGTCCTGATGAGAATGCTCTAGAGCAGCGGTTCTCAACCTTTCACAGGGGTCGCCTAAGGCCATTGGAAAACACATATTTTCGATGGTCTTAGGAACCGAGACACCGCTCCTCTATCCGTCTCCAGGCCCACATGCAGATACACCCACATACAAGTACCCGGCGACCCCTGTGAAAGGGTCGTTCGACCCCCAAAGGGGTTGCGACCCACAGGTTGAGAACCGCTGCTCTAGAGGATGAGATTGAGGGAGGGGCAGTGGTTTCTTTGCTCTGGGACTGGAGGCTTCTTGATGACCTATCTACCCAGGACACCTGCCTCGAAGGGGTCTGTCCTGATTGGATGATGTACAAGGCAGCCTGGTGTTTATTCCAGCCCAGCATTGGGAAATGAATAACATTAAGTCAGTGAACTTTCTCTGGCTTCCTCGTTGTTGGCTGTGTGCGAACCAAAACAGTAGAACTGCCTGGAGTTCTTAGGGAGAGCACAGCCTCCCTCCCGCGGGGTGTGAGAGTGTGAGGGGGCAGGGAAAGTGGTGTGACCTGTCTCACCTGTGCTGCTTGTTTGCAGAACAGCGGCAGGAGAGGGGCAGCAGGATGAATGTGGGCACGGCGCACAGCGAGGTGAACCCCAACACACGGGTGATGAACAGCCGAGGCATCTGGCTGTCCTATGTGCTGGCCATCGGGCTCCTCCATGTCGTGCTGCTCAGCATCCCCTTCGTGAGCGTCCCTGTCGTCTGGACTCTCACCAACCTTATCCACAACATGGTGAGGGCCTGCCTGCCACCCTCCCCGGCCCTGTGGGCTGCTCTTTGGCGGGGCCGAGGAGTAGGAGGAGCCCCCACATGTGGGCAAGAAGTCATGCTGCCAACATCTGTCACCAGAGCCCAGACCCAGCTCTCATCTCGGTCGCACTGCCCCTTCTGAGTTCCAGCCCTGTGACTCCAATAAGAGGAATATAATCTGCAGATGTGTCCACATCTCCAGGATGGGGTAGCTTGTGGGCCTGGAAGAGGGGCCACTGAGAGCTGAACTAAGGGTCCCAAAGAGCGCCCAGGACCCAGGTGCCTGGCCCGGTGCAGCAATGCCCCTTCCCCAGATTAGGACCTCAGGTCATCTTTGAGTCTCGCCCCTCTCTGCTCCCTCACCACCTGCTTGCTACCTTGTTCTCTTTTGGTGGACGAGCAGGGGCCTAGTTCCTTCCCATCAGCTTGTTGCTGCCCCGCCGACACAGGGAGGCTGCCATGGGGCTGGAGCACAGTTCTGCGCTGACTTCCTCCCTGTGTGTCTCCTCATGCCAGGCCTGCCCTCTCACCCAGTGGGTTCTCTTACTCTCCTGCCAGGCTCCCAGTTGCCTCATTCTGACCTCCAGCCCACGTGCCCCCGCCCAGCAGAGGGAAGGCTCCAGATCACCCGGAGCCCACTTCTGTGACGAGGGTGGAGAAGCCGAGCTGGAGGGCCTTTTGCCTTTTGTGTCCTCTAATGAAGGCCCCTCCCTCCAGGGCATGTACATCTTCCTACATACGGTGAAGGGGACACCCTTCGAGACCCCAGACCAGGGCAAGGCGAGGTTGCTAACCCACTGGGAGCAGATGGACTACGGGGTCCAGTTCACAGCATCGCGGAAATTCTTGACCATCACACCCATCGTGCTGTGAGTGCCTTGGGCAGAGGAGGATGCTAGCAGGCAGGCCACGGTCTGGGGGACCCTGGGGCCAGCTTGACTCTTGGCATAGGAACGAGGAGAGGAAGGGAAGCTGGCGTATCCCTGGTCATGTGCTGGGCTCAGGCCTTGCACCTCCCTGGCCCTGTCTTTCCTCAATTGGGGCTTCCTTCCTGCCAGTGAGATAGGCCCACAGGCCTGGGGCAAAGCAAAGGGTCTGGGTTGGGAGAAGTCTCTTTAGCCTGGGAGATCTTGCACCCCTACTTCTGTTCTGGGGGCCTTTCCCATGACTTCTCAGCTGTCAGGAATGTGCCTGTCCCCATCCAGGGAGAGAGGGAGGAAGGGGTCTTCCAGACAGAGCCTTATACCTCTCCCCAACCTTCCCCCCCAGGTACTTCCTCACCAGCTTCTATACCAAGTACGACCAGATCCATTTCATCCTCAACACTGTGTCCTTGATGAGCGTGCTCATCCCCAAGCTGCCCCAGCTCCATGGAGTCCGGATTTTTGGAATCAATAAGTACTGAGGGTGCAGCCCCTTTCCCTGCCCAGATGGCGGGGGAGGGGTAGACGCCTGTGCTGTGATGCTGAAGACAGAAGGAGCCTCTGGATACTGCCAGAGATGGGGGTTGAGCCTCTGGGCCCTAGCTTCCCCCCTCACTTCCCTCAGTAGCCAACTTGAAGTAGCTTGTAGTGGGGTTGGGATACTCCCCTCCCCGCAGCCCTGACCCTTCTGATTTTTTTGATCTTTTCCTTTTGCCTTTTGGATAAAGACTCTGAGGGGGTGGTCGTAGAACCGGCTGGGCTCCTGGGCTGAACACAGACCTGTGAGGTTGGGACAAGAGGCCAGGGAAACCCTCTGTTCACTTGCACCTCCTCAGACCGCTATAGCACTTTAACCCCCGTGAGGGGACGGTACAGTTTCTGACTGTTTCACTTTAGTTCTGAAGTCTTTAGGATGACCCTCAGTGTGTGCTTGTATGTGTGAAGGCCAGTGTGTGATGGCGCCTCATCCCTCTGGGAAGAGAACCGTCTAATCAAAGACTCATGCTTCTGGCAGCTTCCCTGCAACCCACCCTGGGGAGTGGGTGGGAGTTGGGGGCGGGGTAAGGAAAGGGGTGATGGGGCGCTGCGTGGATGGCCTGGCCCCAGAGGTGAGGGGGCCAGGGCTGCCCCCATCCTGCCCTGGTGGAGACAAGGAGGGGTTGGGAGAAGGGGTGGGGATGGTGAGTTGAGACTTCGAAGAAGGGGGACACACAGTAGCAGAGATTGGTAGGAGGGAGGGAGGGAGGGAGGGTGGGGACAAGCTAGACCCAGCCTCATCTTTTGGAAAGTGGTCAAGGATGGGGGCAGGCTTAGAGAGCTTGTTTACCCACAGCATGGTGGTGGTAATAGGAAGGGAGGCTGCTGTGGGCTCGGAGCTCCTGGGTTGGCGTGAGGCAGCCGAGATGGGTGGGAGAGGCCCGTGAGTCATCGTAAGCACAGGTCCACTTTGACACCATTTTCTACAGTGGTGTGAGGGGCGTGGGGAAACTGGGATAGAAACAATGAATGGTGGGACCGTTCCACAGCCCTTTATATCGTAGCCTTCTTGTGCAGACTGGCGCTGGGGCAGGGCCTCTTGTGTGGCATGCACATGTGGGGCTATTGAGGTCACCCCAAAATGGGTCGGTGGGCTGCAGTCGTGCATGGTCCCTTTTTGTGCAGGACAGTGGAAGGTGCAAGGAGTGGCCTGCAGACACTTTCTCCTCCCGTGAGGAGAAAAGAGGTGGGGCGGGAGCCTGAGCATGGTTCGGAGAGAAGCCCCCTTTCCCCTCCCCAATCTGACTAGGGTCTGCGCGTTACTTTTGAAAAGGTGTGGGTGCCTGTGCCCCTTTCCAGGATCCTGAGGCAGGTCACTGACTTTTCTGCCTCCTGGTCCCCCAACCCCCACCCCATGTATCATAGGGAACTTTCACCTCAAAATCTTTCTAAGCAAAGTGTGAATAGGATTTTTACTCCCTTTGTACAGTATTCTGAGAAACACAAATAAAGGACAATGTGTTCCTGTTTCCCCCTGAGTCTGGCCTCTGCTTCCTGGAGGGCCCTGGGGAGGGGGGGGCAGGGGTGCGGGCAATGTGGCAGCATCAGTTGGACCCTCCGCTTGGGTAGTGGGAGGGACCCTGGGACCTCTGCTCTTCTGCCCCCAGCAGAGCAGGGGGCTGTGCGAGAAATGGAAGCAGCCGCAGGCAGAGAGCAGGATCCTGTGACTTGACATGTCTGTTCCTCTGATAGAACTTCCACCTCTGGGCTCCACAGGCTGGCTGAGCCAGGCTGGGCTGGCAGAGAGATGGGTTGGGCCGGGGCCGGGGAGGGGGTCAGTCCAGCATTTATGAAGCCAGACTCCCGAGCGGTACCGAGCCTTGCTTCTGAGTGCCTTCCCCATGCTGACCTCTCTCCCCTCAGTGCGCCCTCGCTGGGAGGGCTGCATCTCCTGGCCTTTCTGCCTACAGGAGAATCTTCATGCTCCCCCCTCCCTCCCATAAGCACGCGTGGAGGGGAGGCGCTAACCCCCAGGACTTATTTAGGCTCAGATGGCCAGAGAGGGAGGAGCCCTTTAGCAAAGGAGCTCTATCTCCGAGGCTCCTGGCCTTTCAGCTTGTTCTGTGCAGTATCATTTGTCGTTCCCAGGACAAAGTCCCACGTAGAAGGGAGGAGCTTGCCCGGCAGCCTGGGCTCCTCTCTGGCCCTGGTCTAGCATCACAGTGCCCTGGGAGTGGGTGTCAGGAAGAGCACAGGATCTTTGCCCAAGTCCACCTCTTGCCTCCACTCCCTGCCCTCCCCTGAGTGAGGCCCATGCATCCCTGGGAGGAGAAATGCAGCCACCTGGGCTCCGTCCTGCGGTGGGGGTACCTTGGGGGTTTCCATGGACCTGCAACGGTGCAGTAGGTGAGGGGCTAGGGCACATCACCAACAATCTGGGTTCAAACCCCAGCTCTGCCACCTACTGGCTTTGTGGCCTTGCCAAGTTACTTCCCTGAGCTTCACTTTCTCCCTTTGTTGTATAACGATAATACCTCTTAAGGCTGTTGAGAGGATTAGCACAATGCCCAGCACGTGTAAGCACGGAGTACATGGCAGCTGTTTTAGTATTATTACCACTGTTGCTACCACCGTCATCTCCTGAAACGTCCTTTTGGAATTGAGGGAGGCAGGGGCCAGGAGACAGGTGGGGCTCACTCGGGTGGTTATCTCTGAGGGGCGGAGCCAGAGGCCTCTTCCTGGACAAGGAGGCAGGTGAAGAGGACAGGTAGTGGCATCTCCCTGAGAGGGCCACGTGAGAGCATGTGATGGGGAGCAAGGTTGAGTCCTCCTTACTGGCCCAGCCTGTCCCCACAGGAGTTAGCTGCTGTCGCTCTCTGAGTCTTCAGGGTTTCCCACCGTAGGATGGCATATGGCAGCTGGTTCCAGCCAGATCACTCTCGTATCCCTGGTACAGCCTAGTCATTGCCTGCTGGCACTTGGTTGGTACCCACCCATATTTCTATTTCTCTATACCAAATTCACCGGATTGCACAGCCCAGTGTGCCCCATTCTGTACGATTCTCTGGCCCAAATTCACCTAGATTATACATCATATATTCCCTGGGTCCTAGAGGAGGGAAGGGTTTCTTACCTCTGATCTTATCTGCCTCCAGCCCAGTCATAAAGTGACTTATCTAATAGCCTGAGAGGTAGGGCACCAAGCCCTACCCAGCTTTCCAGTCCCTTTCAATTCCCTTATAATAGCTTCCTGAGACACAGTGGCCATGAACTGTGCAGAGATCTTATAGAGGGGGTTCTCACAACCTCCATTTTTGGTGAGCAGCCGAGGACAGAGGAGAGGTGGGTAGCATCTAAGATGGCCCGTGGGCCCTGGGCACTGCCTTTCCAGACACCCAGAAGAATTCCTAGGTTGGAAGTGAGTTAAGAGTTGGCCACCATGATGGGGGTAGGGAGCAGGGAGCACGGGTGAATCGGTGCCTGGGCCAGCCGGAAGGGGCCTAGGGGAAGGTGGCCAGAGGTAGGAATGGGGAAGTGGCGCCCAGGAAGCTTGTGAGGGGAGGCCTGGCCCCAGGAGAGAAGCACAGGGGCCTGAGGAAAGGCAAAGAGATCGCAAAAGGAAGGAGTTGCCAAATGATTGATGGGAGGAGAAAGAATAAGAAGGACTTGGAGGTAAGAGAGCCTGAAGGGTCCAGTGTGGCAGGGACCAAGAGCTGCTGTTGAATGGAGATGGGGAAGGAGCAGTTGTGTTAGATTGGACTGGTGATGGACCCTGCAGGGCAGGGGAGATGGGGACAGGGGCCGGTTGTAGACCAGGAGGGTGTAAAGGGGAGAGTGGTGGGAGGGAAGATGCTCTAGGTGCGGTTTTGGGGTTCATTTTATTTTACAAAGTGTAAGGAGATCTTTCAGAAGGTGAACCAGAAACAGGAGAGAGGGTCAGAGATGGGGGTGGGGGGGCTGCACACGGTGCCCAGCTCCAAGCCACTCTTGCACTCCATCCTTTCTCTTCTGTTTCCTTCTGAGGCCAACTTACCACCATCTTATTGGGAAATGGTTGGTAGGGGCACCCATCCAACTGCCTTGCAGAATACAACAAGGGAGGGAGGCCCAGGAGTCAGAGCCAAAGGAAAAAGTAATCAGTTGGTGTTGGCAATGTGAGGGCTGAGCTACGGACCTCCTCCCTTCCTGGGACTTCTGTTCATCAGCACTGGTGAGGGTCTGGCTGGGGGATGGTGGGCCTGCCTTCCCACCCCTCAGGTCCCTCTGTGCAAGGGAGCAACTCTGCTGTGGGAGATGCAGAAAACAGGTCTCACTTTCCATCTGGGGCAATCACCGCTCCATCTTTCTTGCAGAAGAGTTCCATGGGGGGCAGAGGAGAATGTGCCATTTGTGGTGGTCACCCCTCCTTAGTGTGTAGTGACCACCTCACCTTCTAGAAACAGGGAAGGTGAATATCCCAAGCCCTGGTTGTCCTAGAACCATTGGATCTTCCTTGACCCCAAGCTGCCAAAGGTACAAGATCGAAAAACCTGAACCAATATCCCCCAAACTGAAATTGGCTTCCTTTTCCCAGTTGATCCAGGCACAATGTCCAGTGTATTTGAGAAAATCACAAGAGTTGTGGTCCAAGAGATGGACACTGGAGGTGATATGATTGCTGTCAGAAGCATCGTGGAAGCTGACAGGCGTCATTGCTTCTGTCTGGTGAGGGAGAAGAGAAATTTGTTGGGACGCCGCTACTACAGTACAGACCTCACCCTGGAGGACATACTGGAGAGAGGAGAGTAAAGAAGGGCAGTTTGATAAGCTGGATTCTGGGTCCCAAGGTCAGTATGAGGTATGTAAGAGATGGCCAGCCAGGAGACTTCGCCCCTCCCACTCACCCCACATTCAAGTCCCCTTTGCCATCAACCAAGTCAACCAGTCAACAAAGAAACTGGGATTTGTATAGACACACACCTCAATTTAAGAAATGCACAGAAGAGCTGCAAGGGGAGAAGGGAACGGGGGAACATGGAAATTTACTTTTCTTGGAAACTCTTCCTAAATGGTCCTCCCTTCCTATTTCTTCCCTTAGTAAATACTTCACTTTTAAATTAGCTGATGTCTTCTCATGTGTTTGTATGTTTATCATTTAAACAGATAAATAAATGGAGTTTGCTCAGTGGTAAAGAAAGGACACGGGCTGTAGAGTTGGGGCATCCAGTTTCTAAGCCTGGCTCTGACACCTACCAGCCGGGTGACCTCTGGACAAATTGCTTCATCTCTCTAAGTTTGTTTCCTTATCTGTTAACTCAAGCAGACTGTTGCAAGAATCAAATGAGATAAATTACGTAAATCATTTATCACAGCGTCTGCACAAAAGGAACATTCAATAAAAGTTCGCCCCAATCATTCTGCTGGTGGCGGTTATTACTGTATCCTTTCATGTTCCCTGGAGATCATGATTGAATGGGCGAGCAGAACTCCCTAAGGGATTTAAGGGATCTGCAGAGGTGTCTGTTCCATCCCTCTGCCTCCATGCTCAGCTATTCCTGGGGTTTGTTGGGTTTTACAAGCCCCAGGGAGAGTGTTGTGGAACTCTTACTTGGAGATCTTATTTCAGTGTCTCATGCCTCATGGAGAGGAGTTTTACAGCTCAGGCATCTCGGCTATCGCCCATTTGGGACTCACCAAGAGATGGAAAAGAATTCTAACAGTACGACTGTACAGTTTTAGAGCACCTGTCATGTGCCAGGCTTTGCTGTTAAGTGACCAAGAGCAGTGCCCAGATTACTCGGAGGTGGCAGCTGTGTCCACAGCAGAGTTTAACGAAGCAAGGAAGGGGATTTAGGAAAATTTCAGATTAGCATTTTTCAAAGACTCTGAGTCAATTCTCTGAAAGGCAAATGGCCAAGAGCCAATTTCCTAAAAGGTAATTCTCAAAAAAATCAGTTTGCCAAATGATCAGTTCACAGAAAACAGAAAAAATCTAAATCAGGGTTAGGATGTTTTGCCTTGATCATAATACTCCCCAGAGGCAGAGGCAAAGTGTGAGTATGAAAAAAAAAAAAAAAAAAGCTTGACTAAGTCAGTTAACTTCTTTTAAGAAAAAGTCTGTTTGCATAAAAAAATTCAGAGGCAGAGGTGAAACCAAACTTAAAAAAAATTCATAAGAATGAAATGAATTGGTAGTTTGAATTTATTTTTAGCAACTTGGCCTGCTCCCTTTTCAAATGGATTATTTCTTTTTTAACTATATGGTGCTGGTGGTCGTGTTAAAGTGTGCGCTTTCTTTTTTTTTTCTCCTTCCTTCCTTCCTTCCTTCCTTCCTTCCTTCCTTCCTTCCTTCCTTCCTTCCTTCCTTCCTTCCTTCCTTCCCTCCCTCCCTTTTCTTTCTTCTGTCTAAAGTCCATACTTTATTGAGACTGTCTTAGTTTTTATCTAATGTCCCTTTTCTGTCTCAGGGTTCCATCCAGGACACCACATTATCTTTAGTCATCATATCTCCTTAGTCGTCATAGGCTCCTCCTGGCTGTGACAATTTCTCAGACTTTCCTTGGTTTTGATGACCTTGACAGTTTTAAGAAGTACTGGTCAGGCATATTGTAGGATGCATCTCTATTGGAATTTGTCTGATGTCTTTTTCTCATGGTTAGATTGAGGTAATAATGGGTTTGGGGGAGGGAGGCCATTGAGGTAAAGTGCCACGCTCATTACATCATATCAATGGTACATACTGTCAACATGACTTTCACTGTTGATGTTTATCTTGGTCACCTGGCTGAGGTAGCATTCATCAAGCTTCTCCAATGTAAAGTTAGTCTTTATACCCCTTCTCCATGCTGTACTCTGTTTGCATAAGGTTTGATTTTTCCTTTTCTCTCTGATAAAGTACACACCAACTTTTACATTGCTCAAGAAACCAGTGGGGCCTGAGACATTAGTGTCACACATACAGGACTGAGTCAAGGCACTATTCCCAGTTCTGTCATATTTCAACCAGTTCCAAAATGTCTTTTTTTCTCTGGAAATTCAGAGACTAGTGTGACCTTTTCCCTTCTCTTTCCAGGCCAAAAGGCTGAGTTCCAAGTTGTGGATACGGTAGACTCAAATGGCATGTTGACAGTGAAATTGCCCAAAGAAATAACAATTCTAGGGCTTTCCATGGGTCCCAGGAGCAGAGAATCCAGATAGCAAAGACCCGGATATCCCAGCAACATCTGAATTCCCTTGAGAACAGGTGAGGCTGGAGATAGGTAGCAGTGGGAAGGATGAAAGGGAGAAGCCCATTTTGGGCACCAGGGGGTCACCCTGGCTGGTTCAGCCTCTCCTTACTCCCAGCACTCCTTCAACCCACTCCTTTACTCAAGCATGTTGCCTTCTTCTCCACCTCAGGAAGCCTTCTCACTCTTCTAGGATCAGCCTCTCGGAAACCTTCTACTGACACCCTCAATTCACTCACATCCCTGCTGCCCTCCAGAGTGACTGATTTCTCTGATTTGGACCAAAACCTACTGGTTTCAAGAGGCCACTCTCCCCTGCTCTCCTATACTGACTTGCTCAAATCCGTATTTTATGCTTGTTTTACTCTGCCTTGTGGCAAGCCAGAGGTTTCCACATCCCCCTCCCTCACTGGACTAGGAACAACTCATGACCAGGGACAGACTTTGCTAACCTCTGTGTTTATCCCCAGCTTACGGTAGGTATACTCGGTAAGACAGCTGAAGTGAAGCACAGTGAAATCAAAGCACCCCTGTGGAACATTTCCTGCACCACACTCCCCTACCTGGGTGGCACCAATCAAGTGCCACAGAGGTTCTGATTGCTGAGGGCCTGGTGCTTCCAAGGGACTTAAAGGGACATCACCAGCCTCCCCTTTCAGCAATCTTTTTGTTGTTGGTGTTTTCTTCTGGAGCTGGTTCTCCTGGGCCAACCCTCTCTGAATGAGGTGGATGCCATTTGGTTTTTCTTTTCATTAAAAGCTGAAAGGCTCACAGTGACATTTTACTGGTCCTTTGAGCCCTACCACAGTATTGCTGGGAAGGGCCCTTTGGAGTTTTTCAAAGGGAGCTCAATTTTTTTCTAGAAGGCCTATTGTTTCTAGTGTGAGGCTATGTGTTATGTATAAATAGAGCTGGGGGCAGTATACTGGACTGGGTAGAGGAAAGTCAGCAGAAGCAAGGATGTAGGTCTTCCTTGAAGGTTTTTTGGTTGAAAATACCAGAAGCTCCATCAGGCTATTTGTAGTCAGAAAACAAATTTCCTTATGGAATCAGAGATGCCTCCTGGAGCCCAAGGGTGGACAATGCAGCCAGGCCCCAGGGACCAGAGCAAGGAGCTGGAGCCCCTTCTCAGAGAAGGGGGTATGGTGGACTGGGCAGATGCCTATCTCAGTACCATGGGAAGGGCACATGCTTTGGACTCATACAGACCGGAGTTTGAATCCCAGCCCTATACTTATTAACTGTGTGACCTTGGACCATTTGCAACCTGTCTCTAAGCCTCAATTTCCTTCTGTAAAAAATGGTCACCTACATAGGGTTGTGGTGAGGGTGAAATGAAATGGCGTGTGAAGGGTCTTGCAGTGCTGGCCCACTGTAGTCTTCCATAAATGCTAGTGAGCTCCCTTCACACCTTGCACCCTCTTGCCCCCACAGTGGGTAAAGTGCACTGTGAATGTGGGTGCTGTATGCCTTGGTTTTCCAGCCTCTGAAGCACTTAATCTCACATAGGAACGAGCTGATGGAGAGGGAGAAAGGTCCCTGAGAGGTGGGGCCCCTGAGACCCTGAACTCTCATCCCCACCCCCATTCCTTCCAGGAAGCTGAAGAGAAAACTACCCACTTCGTTCCAATCCATCCAGACAATGAGAGGAGACCTGTATCTGGTGACAGAAACTGTGAAGACAGCAAGGAAGGAAACCCTGAAAAGTGAACAGAAATACGCATTTTGGAGCCAGCTGGATCTTTGCAGTCTCAAATATGAACACAAGGTCAGGGTCCTGGGAGGGAGGGACTGCAGGAGATCCAGCCTGGGCCCCCCCACTGTGGGTAGGGAGAATGCCAGCCCAGGCTCCAGGCTCTGCAGCTCTTCCTCCAGGCCTCCCTGAGCAGTCTGGCTCCTTGGCCTTCTTATGACTTCTTTTGCCCAAGAATGTGTGTGTGGCATTGCTAAGTTCCTCCCCTGGCACTCTATGGTGATGCCTTGTTTGCATCTGCTTGTTAGCGCTTCCCACAGTTTATAATTATGTGGGGGTTTTTGCTTATTCATTGTCTGCCTCCCCTTTCAGGAGGCAGGAGGCAGTGCCTTGAACAAAATGGGTCCCAGTATATATTCGCTGAAACAACTTGAGTTTTGAGGTCAGATGTGGGTTCAAATTTCAGCTCTGCTACTGTTTTTAGCTGTGAAACTGGCTCACCTACTGACCCTCTCTGAGCCTCAATTCTGTCAGCTGTAAAATGGGGATAAAATGTCTAGCTCCCAGGGTTGTTGGGAGATCAGGCAAAGTAACTGTGTAAAGCACCTAGCGATCAATCAACGTGGGCTCCTTTTTCCTAGCACCAGAGGGCAGTGACCATCCCCCCCAAGCAGGTCCTGGGCTATGGAATAAAGCAGGTCATCTTCCCCAACATGGAGACGATGAATAAGCAAGGCTTGGTGGGGGTGGGTGGGATGGGGGTCAATTCAGTCAGGCTCTGTGTCAGCCTGGAGGGGTCCTGCTGAGCTTGAAGGTGGGGGGGAAGTTCCAAGGAAGAGGGAGGGTTCAGGACTGGGAAGAAGGACTGAGAGGTTCCTTGCTCAGACACCGCTGACCCAGGATCTGCTCCATCTTGACACTAATCCTTCCCTACAGGCGTTAACTCCTATCTCTCTTCCAGTATTTATTATTTTTTCGGGGGAGGGCAGGATGTGAGGATTGGAGAGAGACTAGAAAGAAGGAACTTACACTGAGAAAACTGGCCTTTTCTGATAACTGCGCTCTCGCTCTCTCTCTCTCTCTCCCCCCCCCCCCCCCCCCCCCCTTTTTTGCATCAGTTTAGATGTTTGTTTCTCTGGCAAAACAAAATCCTTTCCAGAAGGTAACTGAGCTTCTGGGCCTCCTGTTCATCATTCTAGAATGGCAAGAATACTATTTTTAAAAAGAGGATAACAACAAATGGCCTGGAATTATAGAGTGATTAAGGCTAAGCATGTAATAGGATGCACAGGGATGGGACCTGTGATAAAGGGCAGGAGAAAAATCTGCCTGTTGGAGAAGCAAGCTGGATTACATGTTGGCCTAGAGTTTCCAACAACTTTGACTTGCTTTGTGTGGGTCAGTGTGCTGGATGGATCCTGGGGTCACAGCCCTTAACGGAAGGCTTAGGAAGCACCTGGCCAGTTCTTCTGTGATAGAACTGGCTGTAAAAGGAGCCCTGGACTGGGGGTCAGATGGCCTTAGGGTCTAGTTGTGGCTCTCCCACTTATTAGCCTCCTGAGCTGTGGTTATCCTGACTTTAAAATAAACAGATTAGACTAGAAGATTCCTGTGATTCTGAATGTGGCTTCCTCTGGAATTTAGAGCCTTTTCCTGGATCCCAGGAGAACTGTACTGCCTAAGAGGCCTTGGGAAGGGATAGAGAGAAGTCCACGTGTGGTCGAAAATTCAAGCAACTTCTGGAAGTTGTAGAAGTTGCAGGTTCAGTGCTGGCAAGGTCTTGCTAGCACAAAAGGGTGAATCTCTGTCATTCTTAAGTGCCATAACAGAGGAGTCAGGGCATAGATCCAGTCCCTGGTCTGACTCATATTTGCTGAGTGACTGAGGGCAAAGTGCACCCTCTCTGGGCGTCTGTTTCTCCCTCAGCCACCTAGGCGTAATCCTATGGCTGACTATCTCTAAGGATGTGGGAATGGGTCTGCAAATACAGTGCTTTGTCATTTACATACAATGATGAGGACATGGGCTCCCCCTGACATGTGCAGTGAGGGCACAGAGTCCAAGAATGAAAACTTCCATCATTGGGAAGAAAATGTCCACAGCGGGCTGGAGGTGACCTAAAGACTCTCTGAGATTATTCTTCCTTTCTTTGCAGAGAAAGATGGTGTTTCATGTCACCTAGGTAAGAATGGGAGCCATCTGTGTTCAGGGTGGCTGCACCCACTCACCCTTGAGCTCTCTGGCCTTAAGGACTGCAGTTCAGGTGGGGTAGCTGAGTATGTATGTGGGGGAGGTTGGGGGAGAAGGGCAAGACAGGGCCCAAAGCAGGTTTCAACTTTATCTCGTGGTTGCATCTGTCTCCTCTAAACACAGTGGTTCTCGTTGATTATATATAGATGTTACCTAGGAGAACTTTAAAACGAGTTCCACCCTCAGAATTTCTAATTGATCTGTGTGGGTAGTGGCCTGGGTATCAGGATTTTTCATCACTCCTCAGGTGATTCTCACACACACACAGCCAAGGCTGAGAACCACTGCTGTAACTTCCTCTAAATCCTCACTACTCCAAGTGTGGTCTAAAGACTGCACTTTGAATAGCAAGGACTAAATAAGTTCTGATTTCCTGGAGGTGGAGAAGAATTTGGAGTTGGAACTAGATTGGGGGAGAGCTAGGGAGATGGAAGCAGGGTCAGCGGAAAGCAATGATGGTGGGTGTCCAGGAAGAAGGATGCTTCATTTTAACAGGTAAAGATAAGAAGATGGGAAGACACAGAGGTGGTCTCCAGAAGCAAAACAGACCAAGAATGGGGTCTGGAAGAGTCTTGGTCATGGAGCTGGTTGGGCTGGGTAGGTTGGATTCTTAACTGCTGTCTCTACAGGGAAGTCCTTGAGTTTGGAGGGCATCAGAAGCATGAAGGAAAAGGCGCAGGACATGGTGAGGGGCCTCCAGGACCTGACTGAGGAGGAGCGAAAAGATGGACTAAGCTGCCTCACGAAGTGCCTCCTCACCCAGGATGAGCAGCTGCAGGATGGAGAGCAAAGAGGAGGAGCCCAAGAAAGAATCGGGGCAGAGAGCGGGAGGAGCCAGTGGGGAGGGCAGTGGACACACTGCCAACATCTACTCTAGTGGGACTAGTGCTCAACGCCCCCGTCCTGGCCCTAGGTGTCTGAGGTCCTGCTCGCCAATGAGCTACAGATGGAGAGCCCCGCAAGTCCTCTCCTACGGAGCCTGTTTAATGCTGCCGGGATCTTCGTAGAGGCACGCACAGAAGCCATTCTGGGTTTCCTGGATGCCTTGATGGGTGAGGAGGTGTTTGGGTGTCTGCCGGCGTGGAGGAAATGTTGAGTAGAGGGGCATGTGGGGAACCAGATCTTGGGAGGAAGGAGGTACACACTGCCTTTACATTTGGTGAGGGATAAAGCATCGCATTTCAGAAACTAGCCATCTTCCCCCGGCCAGGGGTTGAGACCGCCTCCTCTTCCCTCTCAGCCCCATCCCTGACCGCCTGCAGGCTAAGAGGAAGCAGGGGCCACAGCAGGCGCCCGCTTGGAATCAGTCCCTTCTAGGCTCTCTGGAACCTCCTCTGGTGCTTGTCTTGGGTCTGATCAGACACGGAAGCACTGTGCCACCTCCTCTTTGTGCCCCTCCTCTTTGCCAACCACCCTATTTTTATCTTTACCCCCCAGAGCTGTCTGAGGAAAAAGCGCTTGTGGCTGAGGCCCTAGAGAAGGGGACCCTGCCCCTGTTGAAGGAGCAGGTAAGACAGCCTGGGCCGAGAGCCAGGGTCACCATAGAAGTGAATGCCCATGCTCTCAAGGGACCCAGACGTCCCAGGGTTCTGTCCCTTCCTAGTTCACAGTCTCTGTCAGCTCACATCCATTCAGCTGGTTTGTGGCAAGTCCCTGGACATAGAGTTTCCAGGACACTTTGGGATGGGCTTTTTAGGCTCTGTTGCTTACCTATGGGCAAAAGGGGGGAGTGGAAAACTGCTAGTCCCGGGATAGCAGTTGGCACCATCTTAAGTACCAACACTGATTGGTTAGCAGTACCTTTCGCTATGTTGCGAGAGTATCGGGCTCTCCAGGCTCCACAGGAAAGAGCACCATGATGGATTACCGTACTGTTTCCGCCATGAACTCAGGATGAAGGAATGTGGCCAAGTAGTAGCCATTTCTGGTATATCTCCTTGTTCCTAGCTTTTACAGCCTGGTGGCTTTCCTTCTAGGTGGAGTCTACCCTGGAGCAGAACTGGGGTGAGCTGCCCCGTGACGTGGGCTGTGACCCCGAGGCACAGATTCTCCATGCCGTCTATGTGTGTCTGCCTCCATCCTGCTGCAGCTGTGTGAGAAGCCTACCTCTGTGTCTTCCCGTCTGTCAGCTCTTTAACCACTCCCCACAAACCTCTGGGTGCGCCCTCCCCAGTCCATCCTCACCCCATCCCCTTCCCCCTCGGTCACCAGAATGATGTCTTTAAAACAAGCAGCTGGCTCTTCTTTGATACATCCCATTCCCTACATGATAATGTACAAAAACCAGCCTGGTTTGTATGCACAGACTTCTGATTAAAAGTGGCAGATTGAGCATATTAATTTCCTCTCCCTCTCAAAACCTCACTAAATGACAATAAAGCAATAGAAAAGATAGAAACTCACAAGAATAAAGAGTAAGGCAGCAGGGAAGAGATTTCAACACATCTTTGGAAGCTAGAAAGTAATTACAGGAATCCAAGCCGGGGAGCGCGGGGCTGAGGGGTGCAGAGGAGAGCAGGAGGCTGCTGCTTTGTCATCGTAACCCTTTTAGTTCTGTTTTAAGACAATGTAACTAAAAGTGAAAGAAATATATGCTTGCTATAAAGCGTTTCAAATATTTCTCAAATTTGAAGGTAAGGGTACTTCCCCTTCTCCCTCTAATATATAACCATTGTTAACATTTGTATGTTAACAATGGTATGTTAACATCTTTCCAGTACAACAATTTTTTAAATAGTCATTTAAACATGAAGCTAGGATGATATAACATAAATTTGTTTTGTATCTTTGGAACTAGAGTTATTATTTTTTTTCAAATTTGTAAAAATATTATATGCAACAGGAATTCTCATGAGTGCTGTTGGGAGTGTATATTGGTTACCTGCTTTGGAAGGTTGTTTGACAGTATCCACTAAAGCTAAATATATGCCAATGACCCAGCAACTCCACTTCCCAGGCATGTACCCAAGAGGAAGGAGTGCACATATTCACCAAAAGACATGCATATACAAGAACGTTAACATAGGAGCCCCCAGCTGAAAACTCTTCAAATGTCCTGCAACATGAGGACGGATACATATATTGTGATAGATTTATACAATAAAAGAGAACAAATTAGTGCTACACATAACACCGTGGATAAGTGTCAGACATAATGCTGAGCAAATGAAAAAACGTAGTTATGTATGGGTCCTCTGAGAAGCAGTGCCAACATGGAATTAGACGTGCAGAAGACCTATTGGGGGAAAACCTGTGAAGAATAAAGGGACAGGAAGCAGAAAGAGACATGACAAGCCATCGGATCACACTGCTGGTCTAAAACCTGTGAAAGGAGAGAAGGGAAGGAGCCAGTAGGAAGTCTCAGACTGCAGTACAGCTCTGAGCATCTCAGCCAAGCTGACCCAAACAAAGATCGTCTAATGGAGGAGCCCCATCAGGTAGGAATGGCCGGGCTCCAGTACCCCTGCCATGCTCATCATTTGGCTGGGAGCAGCCCAGCGAAGCTTGACTTCAGGAGGTACAGGGCAGAAGCTAGAGGTTCTCAGTCGACTATGCTTTCTGCAACAGGCTATCCTCAGGAAAATCTGCATGGTACCCTCCATGGCCATACACAATACTGTATGATTCCATTTATATGAGGTTCAAGAACAGGCAAAACTAAGCAATGGTGATAGAAGTCAAAACAGTGGTTATCTTAGTGGGGGTGGTACTGACTGGGAAGGGGCATGAGGGAATCTTCTGGGGTGCTGTAAATATATATATATAAAGATTCACTGAGCTAATATTTAAGATCAGTATACTTTACTATAAGCATATTACACATCAATTTTAGAAAAAGCATATAGTGTATAGTTCCATGTAAAAAACAAGCAAAACTAAATGATGGCGGTAGAAGTCAGAATAGTGGCGGTAGTATTCCCCGGAAAGGGGTTTGAGGGAGTCTTCCACAGCACAGGAAATATTGTATATCTTGATCTGGATATTGGTTATGAGGATGTTTACATGTGTAAAAATTTATTAAGCTATACATTTAAGATCTGGACACTTTCAGGTTTTTGCACCTTGATAAAAATTTTGATTTAAAAACAATATATGCACATGAAAACATATTTGAACAGTGCAGAACAACATAAAAAAATTATTAAGTTTCTTCTCAAACTCCTTCACCCTATAACCTAGGTCCACTTTCTTGAGACAGTCATATTAACACTATTTTAGTTTTTCTGTTTGTTACTATTACAACTAGAAATGATAGTCTTATATTTGTTCTTAATTTATTAATTTTAGATAGTATTTATTGAATCCCCAGTATTAAGGATGAGTATTGGGAAAAAACAGACATAGAACAAAAAGTACAAAGCAGGAAGCATGTTATTAAAAAAATGCAGGGTACTATGACAGTGTTTAATAAAAGTAACAGAGTCGTCCCCTCTGACCTCTGACATTGACCCCTTCCCTCTTCCTTAAACTCTGATTCCTGCCACACCAAACTATTGGTCTTTTATTTGAACATTCCATGTACTTTTACAATGACATACATTTTTTTAAAAAAGATTTTTATTGGGGAATTGGGGGATGGGAACAGTGCTGGGGAATTGGGGGAAGGGGAACAGACAAGTTGTCCTTTTGTTCTTTACTCTAGTTGTGGAGGACGCTGCTTCACTGGCCCAAGTTGACACCATCATTGCGCTCTTCCCGGGCGAGGCAGATCAGTCGCCGGCTTCTGGACGGCCGCTCATGGCGGCTGCTGGCCGCTCAGCTGGCTGCTGGCTACACACGGTAGCCCATGGAAACCCTGCTGCAGCAGGGGCTGCAGCCTACGCCGTCGCGGCAGGGAACTCAGGCAGCCCAGCTCCGGGTTGAGCTGTTATTCAGCATCTTAGCTGTAGAGGGCAGTGTAACTGGCCCTCATATGTGGGATCCGAACCGGGGCCCTCTGGCGTCCCAAGCAAGCTCTTAACCAATGCGCCACTCGGCCGGCCCAATGACATACATTTTAAAAATACAAGTTGCACTCTCCTTCTTCCTGGATTACTTTCCCCCACTTTATCCATCCTTTAAGCTATGGCTCGAATATCCATTCCTCAGTAGCCATCCTAGTTTTCCAAAGAATTTGGTTACTTCTTCCTCTGTGTGGCTCATAGCATGTTGAATACGTTTCTATTATGGCAGTCATCATATTGTACTGACATAATGAACACATTTGTTCCACTAATGTGAATGCTTCTGGAGAACAGGGTTTACATGTTACTTTTCTTTGCTAGCACTTGGTAAACAATTGTTTGCTTCAAAAGTGCCTTTTGAGTTAGGGAAAGTTTGGGAGACATTCAGAATTTCATGAGGCTGGTTCGATGTCAGAACTACCAGTGTCACTAAGAATTTTTTTTTCCCCCGTCCTCTCAGAAGCTTAGCAAGACACTACTTGTCTAAGGGAGATTAAAGTGATCCAGCAACTTGAGGCTCATATTCAATCTGTGGATTTCTCTCTTCTCATCGCACATTCTGATTCCAGAGTTATTAATTTCAAATACGTACATTTATTGCATATGTCTGCAAGATATTTCCTGTTCTAGCAGTTGAAACTGCTGGTAGGGATGACTTTGAAATGGGGACAGTTAGGATAGTCCTTATTTGAGGTTGGAGGGGTGTTGGAGATTCCACTAACTCTCACTACTTTTCAGAACTCTTAGCTCAAGCAGTAACCCCCAATAGTTCCTATATATCTCTCCAGGCTGAGTTAGAGACCCCTAAACATTATTACCTCTGTTGGGAAGGAGACCGTTTTGGAAAACAGTTAAGCCACCTGGGGATAGATAAGATCCGATGGAGCTGGATGTCAACAGGTCTTGGAGAAGGGGGAAGCTACTTTGCAAGAAACAAATTGAGGAATTTATTGATTTTGCTCCTAAGATTGAGGAAAGGGACATTAAAAGGAGAGAAAATGGAGGAGGAGAGGAGTACAAGCAAGGTGGAGAGAGGCTAAGACTAGGTGAGGTACTAAAAACTTCTAGATATGAGATAGGTGAAGGACATCTGAGAATGGTGATGCCAAACTTATTTCTGGTAATAGTAAGCTAGATTATTTGCTCCAGCTCTCCCATGGAAAACAATTTAAAATGCTGGATAAAATAATTTAAAAACCCCCACAAAAAGCATCTAACTGCTGACAAGATAAAGGAACTCTAGCCAAAATATAAGTGAAAAGCAGGCCCAGGAAGATAAGTGAAGTATCAGAACACTAGTATAATTTTACTCCAGGAGAAGGGGGTTGAGATTTGCAAATCCAGGCAAGCTGGGGCTTCAATTTGGCCAGTCTTGTGGATTGATGAGTCCAGAAGTCAAGGCCAAGGACCCAAGCAAGGTCTAATAATTTCAAAGGGCTACATCATTAGGGTAAGGGTGAATCATCAGTAAACCCATAGCTCTTGCCTTACCTGCAGGCAACTGAAGGGAAGACTCTTGGTATTGAGTGAAGAAGAGGTTTACAAAAAGGAAAGGAAAAAAGTTCTGAAATATTGTGCCATAGGCTAGTCTTTTCACAAAACAGCCTGGATTTGCATCATCTGGGTGTTTCTGAGTATCTCAAATTACACACTTAGTTTGTGAGGGAATAGGATTGGTTGTGTCCATGAGTGCCTAGCAGAACCAAACAAATCTTTTCTAGAGAAAGTTATTTTCATTTCCAAAAATAATTGTTTAAGGACAACAAGTAGCTCCCAATAAAAAACAACAAAGCCTACAAGGAAACAGCATCATGAGCAAGAATAAGCTGAAACAACTAACAGCTCAGACATAAGATTCTCATGCATAAAAGGACACTTGATATACGGGAGAAGTATCATTGCAGATTAGTGGGGAAAGGCTAGACATTTTAATAAATGGTCCAGGAAAATTGGATAACCACATGGATAAAAAATGAAATTTGATCCCTGCCACACACCATTTATAAAAATTCCAGGTGGATTTTAGTTCTAAATGTGAAAGGCAAAACTATATATTAACATTAAAAAGTTTTGTTCATCGAAAGATGTCATAAAAAAGTGAAAAAACAAACCATAGTGTGGGAGAAGATATTTGAAGCATATATAATTCACAAAGGAATGGTATAGGGAGCTTGTACAGATAAAAAATAAAAAAAAGATGACCCAATAGAGAAATAGACAAGTCTTTTACCAAATTTTTTGGAAAAGAAAAATGGTTAACAAACATAGGAAATCATGATTAACCTCATTAGTAATCTGGGAAATAAAATTAAAACCACTATGAGATACCAACATTCACTCACCATATTGACAAAAGTTTAAAAATGACAATATCAAGTGTTGGTTAAGTACCT